CTGCCTGCTTTATTGCTCTTCAGTAGTGAAATATATACCACATTAAAGAATCAGAAGTGAAGTTACAGACATTTAACTTTACACTGAAGAACGAGAATACTTCACTCCCATTTCTGCAAGTGAAGAGCAACGGCTGTATCTAAGACTCTTCTTCATCCTTCTCCCTGGCAAGCCTGCATGAAATACAAGTGTCATCATCTCACAAATATGAAAACATGTGTTTTCTGTATTTGTAGAACACTGACTGTATACCTCACAAACCCTGGATCAGTAAGAAATAATAATTTTTAGTTCAGGAATCTTCACAAATGCAGTTCAGCTTTCTTCCTCTAGGTATTCCAGTTGAACTTCAGTAAAACACTACCAAAAAACTGCTCCTTAAAACTGATTTTTGAGTTGTCTGTCAAGCTTTGATTTAGGAGGGAAAATGGTATTTCTCCCCTCTAGATACCTAAGAAAGCACAGGAATTTTCATTTGTGCCCCTACCAAGTCTGAAGGATGAAATGCAACACAACACCCCATCCTGCCCTGCTACCAAATAACATCAATTCCTGTCATCCTTGACTCCTCCTTAATTTTATTAAGGACTTATCATACATTAGGTACTTTAGCTCCTTGGAGAAAACATACCAAACCAACCCCATTCTGGTTGTCTAGAATCAGCTGATCCAGTGACAAGCCCAGTCCTACCAAATGTCCACTTCAGGCAGCATCTCACTCCTGGAGGTTTGTAGGCAGTCTCAGTCCCAGTAAGGCCAAGCATTCCATTCCATTTACTATGTCATCTGACTGACTGGCATGAACTACTCCCCAGAAACTGAATATGGTAAGAAAACGTTTCCAATATGAGAAGGTATTTCTTACAAAATTAGGATAATTCTCCAAGTTCTTAGTATACAAAACAAGGTCTTACGCTGTGATTCACAAAGTGGGACACATTTCCATATCGAGCTGCATCTACTGTAAATTCATCTGAGTCATAATCCAAATCAAACAAGTATGTATTTCCCTGGTTGTCATAGAGCTGGCCTCGCCTCTCTGCTTCCTCACTTGTAATCACCTGAAAAAAAAAAAAAAAAAAAAAAAAAAAAAAAAAAAAAAAAAAAAAAAAAAAAAAAAAAAAAAAAAAAAAAAAAAAAAAAAAAGAGAAAAAAAGAAACCTGCATCATATTATTAACTATTACTAAATTAAAGCAAAAATCAAAATCAAGTTAGGAGAAAAGCTTTACTTAGTAAAAAATACCACATTAAGTTTTTGATGCTGAAATAGCATTCCATCCAAAATGAATAAAGGATACATGCATACAACTAAACTAATTAGTGACTGAGGCTTCTCTGGACGCAATTTGTCTACAGCTGATGCACAGCACTATCTTGTCTCAGGGAAAAGTGCCTTCTACTATGAGATTTGATGACAATACTATCAACTGTTTCTACCTAAATTTTCTATATACACATTTTTCATTAGACCCAGAAAGCTTTGTTTACTTAAAATCAAGTTTCAGCTTTCTCCTTTTGCACAGACAAACATCAACAGACACCAGTCTGTCTGGGATAAGTATTCTCTTTACAGTCGACCTTTTACAACTGCTCTGGAATAAAGGAATGTTCTGGACAATATAATTTTGCTGGTAACTTGAATCTCTATTTTTCTCTCTACTCAAAAGCAGACTGATCTACTATGTAGTAAAACCATAGAATATCCTGAGTCAGAGGGGTCCCACCAGGATCACTGAGGTCCAACTCCTGGCCCTTTGCAGATCACCTCAAAAATCACACCATGTGCCTGAGAGCACTGTCCAAACAGTCCTTTAACTCTGTCAGGCTTGGTGCGGTGACCACTTCTCTGTTTCAGTGCCCAACCACCTTCTGGGTGAAGAAGTCAAGAAGCGTTAAAACTGAGAGAAAGCTCAAAGATTTTATCTAACATTTCCTTTATTGTATATAATTCATCTAAGGAGATACATACCTCTCCAACATACTCCATCACAAAACTGTTGGTTTTAATTTTCTGGAGGGTTTTTACTCCCCAGCCACGGCCATTGTTGGTTCTGAAGATGCAAAGGGAATACGGTGTACCTTTCTGCACTATTCTATTAGGGCAGTCAGGCCCACACCTACAATAGGAATTGCACTCATAGATGGGCAAGCCAGGCTGGATTTTTAACTTCTTACGTTTATTGTAAGCCAAAATAAACCCAGCCTCCTTTGGACAGCACTTCTCAGCAGGGCAGTCAGCACATTCACAGCCAGTCGTTATTCCATTGAGCACATTTATCCCCGGAGCAGGTTTATACTCATTAATGTAGTAGAAGTCTAATGGAGGGCCTTCAAGATCCACGGTATTTTCCACCAGAATCATTGCTTTGTGATTCTTTTTCCTGTTGAGTTCTTCCTTCCATCTCTGCAGGGCTATTCTTTGCTTGGCCTTCTTTACAACATAATCTGCAATGGCAGGTTTCAAAGCTTTAATGTGGTTTCTCACTTTCAGTGCTTTGCCTTCTCTCACCCGGGACAAGTATTCGTTCTTGTCACTAAGAAAGTTCTGAAGAAGCAATGGGCAGTTCAGATGCTTCTCAGGTTCCCAAGTATTTGAAGATTCTGGCCATCCTTTCCATTTCACAAGATAGTATTCTTTGCCCTTGAAACACAGAAACAGATACAGATTTAGCCACGGTTCCTTTTGCTGCAATCCAGCATCACAGGGCACACAGACAAGCACAAGAGATCTGGATTTAAGGACCAAGCACACAGTGCAGAGGGCCCTGATGTCCCCATAACAATTACAATTGGGGAGAAAGAGAAAAATCAGGTTTTCTGTTCGCAAATTAAGGACAATTTTGCATACTTCACATATCGTCTCCAGGGGCAAAGAAATCAAAAGGTGGGATGAATTCTGATCCCTAACAGCATACCTGGAGGAGGAGGCTAGTTTGTCAAGGCAGGTGGCAAGTTAAGCTAACTTGCTGTATGACTCGTATGCACAAGTAGAATGTAGTTGAAATACATATAGAGAAAAAAAAAAAAAAGTCTAAACCCTCTTGTTTGTTACATCAACCATCCTCCCAAAGCAGTAACTAGTTTGATACACTTAATATTATAGTTACAATGTAGCAGCATACATTTTGTACTTATTTTAAAAAGGCCAAATAACTGTAACAAGGCCAAACCCTGAAACTGAATTTCAAAGGAATCCAGTTGCAGCACATGGCCCTAACTCTTCATCAAACAGACTGAAAGTGTCGAAAGAGAAATGCAGATGGTTGTCTGCAAATAAAGGACAGGCAATTCATACCAAGCTACCACCTAAAGCATCAGCATCTTATTTAAGTTCTAGATACACAAAGATGAAACATTTCATACTCTAACATTTCAGGAAAAGATCTTTCTTCCACATGCTGAAATCAGCAGTTTACACCGCTTTCAGTTTACAACTCAAAGTTTAAAAGATATTTAATTTGATGAGGGCAAAAGCTTTGTCCTCACTGCCTGTTGCTTTATATTACGAACAAAACTATCTTTAGCTCACTTCCAAATTTCAGCTGAAAGAGTGATCAAATTGGTCTGTGTTTCTCTTACCTCTTCTACCTTGTAGTCACACAAATATTCCACCTCATAACTCTTTAGACTCCTGTTGGTGATTCCAATGGATTTACATCTGAGATTTTCCTTCCTACATAATTCTTGAAGGGTCTCAAGTGAAGCTAGACATGGCACATACCAGGCTACAATAAGAAAATTGGTAAAGAATCCTATTTAATGTCTCAGCTAAATTGAAATCATTATTGCCTTATCCCAGAGTCCCCACATTACCATTTGTGACAGCAGTCCACGAGTCTCTTGTTAAGCAGTAGCGTCTCTAACTCAACCCTTCTCTAACGGGTCGAGTGAAACACGCCAGTGATTCCCTCCCTGCACCTTTATTCTGCACAGTACGTACATTTATGAAGAACAGCAAATATTTTGGAGGACAGAGACTTCCACAGGCGAAAGCTGCACTAAGCACCGAGCAATTTTCCTGCAATTACAGCATCCCATAACTGAACCACGGCAAGAAGGAAACCTCCATTCTTTAACGGACCGCCAAATTTCCGTAGCCAAGCGCAACGGACCACTCGCGATGAAACCATGGAGACTGGGACGAGGAAGCAGAGACCCACGGCGCTCTTCCAGAAGGATCGCGGGTGCCCTGTCAGCCGGGCGGGTTTCAGGGGACGCGACACCCCGCGGGGCGGCTCGGCGGGAGCGCCCGGGAAGCACCGGGATAGGGTGGGATGGGATGGAGTGCAGCGCGGGAGCGGAGGGGCCGCGCCCGGGGCTCCGCGGGGCTCTCCCGGTCCCGGTCCCGGGAGCTCGGGAAGGCGGGAGGGGGCGGCGGTGCCTTTTCCGCGGCCGCGCCGGGACCCAGCGCCTCTCCCGCCTCCCGCCCGCGATCCACGGTTCCCTCCCGCCCGCCTCCCACAGCGGCCCTGGGGCAGCGGGTGGGCGCCTCAGGGAGGCGGGCGGACCTCCCGGGGCAGCAGGCAGGACCCCCAGCCCGTTCCTTCCCTCTGCGCCCCACTGAGGGGCTGAGGGCGGGGGCGGTGCGGGCGGTCCTGGCGGAGCCAAGCAAGGGGGAGCGGCAGCGGCTCGCAGCGCCCAGAGCGGGCGGGAGCCTCCCCTCACGCCCTCGCTCGGTCCTCGCTGCCCCCCCATGGCCCGGCGTGGGGCGGGCAGAGCCCCGGGCGGCCCCGACCCCGGTGCGCTCCCCCCTCACCTCCTCGCCAGCCCTCCATCTTGGGGGAGGGCAGCGCTCGGCCCGCGCGGGCTCCGCCCCCCGCCGGAAGGGGGCGGGGCACAGAGCGCGGCCCCGGCGCGCGCCGCCCCCGGCCCTCCCCTCGCGCCTCGGCCGTGAGGGGCTCCCGGCGGGAGCTGGTCGGGAACGCGGGGGGACGGAGGGGACAATGGAGCGGGGCGGATCTAAAGTTCCCCCGCGATCATCTGCGGCAGAGCTGAAAGGAGGAACCGCGGAGAAACGGTTCAGGTACTTCTTATGCGGAAAAAAAAAAAAGTTACACCGTGATCGCAGCGCCCTCCTCAGATTATGTGTTTCCTATTCATGTGGCTTTCGCAGAATCCATCGGGTTGGAAAAGACCTCTGAGGTCATCGAGTCCAACCTGTGACCCAACACCACCGTGTCAACCAGACCAGGGCACTGAGTGCCACGTCCAGTCCTTCCCTGAACACCTCCAGGGATGGCAACTGCATTACCTTCCTGGGTAGCTCATTCCAACGTGTAATCACCCCTTCTGTGAAGAAATTCTTCCTAATGTCCAACCTAAAGCTGCCCTGGCACAGTTTAAGACTGTGTCCTCTGGTCCTGTTCTGGTTTTCTGGGAGAAGAGTCCAACCACCATTTGGCTACAACCCCCTTCTGGGTAGTTGTAGAGCTTTTAAGTTTGCTCCAAACCCCACAAATCAACACCCAACTTAACAGTGCCTCGCTGTCTCTTCATGGGTATTTATTTATAGGGCTGTAGAGCTCCACTGCCCCTACATTCCCTGACACTAGCTTTTCCAAGATCCACTTTCGAAGTTTTCACAGAGGAACCAGTGAACTGTAGGCGTGCCAGTCTCACTTCAGCAGTAAAATTATGGAGGTTATTCTGTCATGGGTCACAGCCAGCAAAGCTTCATGAAAACATTGCTGGACAAACTGAATTTCCTTTTACAATAAGGAATTCCTCCTCATTACCAGGGGAAGCCAAGTGGTGCTATGTTTTTGTATTTCAGTAAAGCTTTTGATACTGTTTCACAGAGTATCCTTCTGGATACAGATGAATAATCATGTTACACAGTGGGAGAGCAATGGCTCAGAGGTTGGGCACAGAGGTACAGTGAACTGGATGACATCAGGCTGGCATTCATGTCACTCGTGGGGTCCCACAGGGCTCCATCCTTGGCCCAGTGCTCCTCAACATCTTCATTAACAACTTGGACACAGGACTTGAAGGGGTACTAGATAAGTTGGGTAGCGATACTAAACTAGGAGGAGAGAGACACGGCATATTGCCAACCATATGGAGTTCAACAAGAGAAGGTTCTCGATTCTGGACCTCAGATAGGGCAATCCCAGATGTATGGACAGACTGGGGAATGAGATACTGGAAAGCAGGGGCGTGGAAAGGGACCTGGGGGTCCTGGTTGATGGCAAGTTGAGTATGAGGCAGCAGTGCCCTGGCAGCCAGGAGGGCCAACCCTGTCCTGGGGGGATCAGGCAAAGCAGCGCTAGCCAGGTGAGGAAGGGGATATTAGTACAAGCTTCTGCACCCAGACAGTGGTTGGGTAGTGCCAGGCTCCTCAGGGAGATGGTCACAGCACGAAGCCTGTCTGAGTTCAGAGAATGTTTAGACAACACTTTCAGACATATGGAGTGAGTTTTGAGGTTACTCTGTGCAGAGCCAGGAGTTGGACTGATGATCCTTGTGGATCCCTTTGAACTCAAGATATTTTATGCTCCTATGAACTATTTACTCATTTTCCACAGCCGGGGGATAAGGCAAGCCTAATTTTTTCCTTTTTTTACAGGCTGCTATGCTATACAGTATCTACTGCTTTTGTGAGATAGGAAGAATATTGAAATATAAGACAATTTGAGAACCCTGTATTAAAACAGGTAATTGAACACAGGTCTCTTCAAATCCAGACAGGCAGCCCTGCTCTAGTTTCTATCTGATTTTGAGGGTCTTTGTGACATTTTTAGTATTTTAAAGCACCTGGTTGTCATCTTGAACTGTTGCCCCTTAACTGCACATTAGGATGAGATCCTCAAATCCCGTAACTACACTTGCCTGCTCCATCTCCTTACTGAAAAATCCTGCAGCTTATACCCAGATACATGGCATACAGGTTGGAACAGTGCCACACAGAATGGAGAATGCCAGATCTACATAAAAAAAAAAAAAAAGGACTTTAATAACACATAAATAAGCACATTTAACTTTTGAACATATCTTTCAGGTAATACCGCAAAACCATTTTACAGTTACTCCGGAAAAAAAAACCCAAACCCACAAACAACACAAAACAGCTCAATAGGCCAGCATGAATAGGCACCACCTTCATGGTTTTGGGCAACATCAAGACTTCACAGAATTTCATTTACAATTTGGTGCAGTTACCAGAGAGTGGATTTTCATCAGTCTTGCTGGTTCAAAGCTATGCTGTTGAAGCCAGAGGAATACTGGCTGAATAGGTACAGGACCTGCAAAGTACCTGAAAGGAGAAATCTTCAGATTGTGTATGTAATATGCCTGTTGCTGAACCACAGGCACAAGCATTTGTGCTTTGCATTTTTTAAATCAAGTGCTGATTATTCAATGATCTGCTGTCTGCATGTCTTGATTAACATTTTGCACCATGCTTTCCACTCCAAACAGACTTGGTGGCAAATTAATGTGTTACTTGAGTGTATTACAGTCCTCTAAGAACCGAAGACATCCCAGAGAGTCACTGCTTTGGCAGAAAAGGCAGTAAGAGACAGAAATCAACTCAGAAAAATGTTGCTTTTCACAACAGGCTACGATGCCACTTCAACAGTGATGATTTCACACTTCCCGGTATCTTGATCCGTGCAGGTAACGTGCAAGGAGCCATCCCTAGATGAAAAAAGAGGGGTAAGTTTAAGAGTCAACACAACACTCAGGATGCTACTGCACGTTCCAGAGAGGATAAACAACAGTCTTAATACCAGTGAAAGGAAGAAAATGCTTCACCACAGATGAAAGTGGTTTAGGAAATTAAGTTTGGTTTAGTGAGTGTTTAGACATGCATTTTTTGCCCTTATAGCATCTATCGTCTCCACATATGCTGAAACAGGCTCAGGAACATGTTTAAATACTGCAGTTGAGTTTATTTAGTACAGGTTTGTAAATAGAATATGCATAATATTATTCAAAATATTCATTGTGAGAACTGAGTAACAGCAACAGATTGATAAGAACATCTTATCAAAATATGAGAACTCAACTTTTTTTTTTTTTAAAAAGTGTAAGTAGTCTTTAAATTCCAAGGGTATTCTTCAACAAGGAAAATCTTAAATTTTGAAAATCCAAGAATTAAGAAAAATTTGAATCCCACTTCACCTAGACATAAACACACAAAATATTCAGATAGAAATAAATGTGCTTCACTGAACTTTCTATCCCTTTTTCACCCATTACTTAAACCTCCTTTAAAATAATGCCGTTTTTCTGCATGACAGAGTTGGATCTATAATCCCCACGATGCTTTTCTTACCAGTGCTAAGTGCAAATCTCTGCCTGACAAACAAGGTATTTTAGGTGAGGTCTATTAACAGGTGTTAATACATGTGATAGCCATTGTAAGAAAATTCAGTATTTTGAACTCAAATAACAAATAGGGGTTTAGTTTTTCAGCAACATCTACACAGAATTTAGGAAAATAATATGAAATTCAGAGCAGCCTTGAGAAGACAAACATGCCTTGACTACTTAGAATTCCACCTTCTGATATCTTTATAAACTATTTAACTATTTCAAATGAGCCCAAGCACTCCTATTAAGGCCTAAGGAAGTTACAATATCCTGTCATCCCCATTCTGCCATAAAACATACTTTCATACAAACATCGTACTTTCCTACAAGAAGTCCCCAGATGAACATGTAAAAAGTAGATTTTTCAGTCCTGATTTCCTGTGGCACTGTCTCTCTACTTAAATCTGCCTCTGAAGGGACAGAGCCTCAGGTTTTCCCTGTAAATGCTGCAATGCTTCACTGATTCCTTTGTAAATAAAAAAGACAAAATATCCTTCAGTTTTTCCCAAGAGTGTGGGCAGAACTACCCAACCCCCTTCCACAGGAAATTTGAGATCCTGACTGCTCTCAGGCATAGCTAACCTGATCAACAGTTCAAAAGTTCCTAAAAATAACCTATACAATTGTGTTAAGCCTTATTTCTTTAGAAATCAAACAATGAAAGCACTGAAGGTACTGCAGAAAAACCACATTCCTACAGAGTTTGCCCCTGCCAGGACTGTACAACCCTGTAAGCAATGAAATGCTGAAATTTCTCAATACAAAATTAAACATTCTGTACCAGGAGCAAAGACTGCTTGTCACAAGTGTGATGCAGCAAGGTAAACAGCAGAGCAATAAATACTTTGGGTACCTTTTCATAGTGAGAACAGTTAGTATATCATGTAGGCCATCCTCCTTTTTATCTAAATCCTGTAGTACAATCTGTTAAAAAAAAAAAAAAAAGAAGTTAAACTATAATCAAGTTCTCCAAACTCCTGCACAGTTTAATGGAAGTGACACAACAGCTATGATGTGCAATTCATTCTGTTTAGCAACTTGTACTGGTAATTGCAAATCAAAGCATGCCTTAGTGGACTTCCTTTAGCTGTAGTGCAACTTTATGTATTTTTATCTATTTGTACTATTGTTTCTGTGCTTTTGTTTCAGGATCTATCACCCAGACAGCTGGAGACCTACCACTGCCACAGCCTACAGTAAGAGCTGAGCATCTCCCTTTACTTAGGATCAGTTCTGTAATTATTAGGTAACATCCTTTCCCTCTGCCCCTCAAGATATTTGGGCAGGACTAAGGTAGAATAACTGTTTTCTCAAATATTCTATCCATTTCATCTGCCCCTTCCCTGATGCCTTCCAAGGAAAGCACATTTTTTAACAAGTTTTGGCAAAGGTGAGATCAGTTTCCATTTTTTTTTCTTCAGATCCAACAGATTTTTCCAGTGGCTGCTATTAAAAGTGCCCATGGAATATGCACATACTCACCTGTGCAAATTTATCTTCTTCGTTCATGGGACCTTTC